AATGGGGTGAATTCTCCTCTTAGTGACGTGACGTGACATGTGGCCAAGTATGGTGACCCATACTAGGAATTAGTGCTCTGCATTTAACCCATCCAACGTGCACACACACAGCAGTGAACACACACACACACCCGGGGCAGCCATTTTTTTGCTGCGGCGCCCGGGGAGCAGTTGGGGGTTCGGTGCCTTGCTCAAGGGCACCTCAGTCATGGTATTGAAGGTGGGAGAGAGCGCTGTACATTCACTCCCCCCACCTACAATCCCTGCCGGCACGAGACTCGAACCCACAACCTTTGGGTTACGAGTCCAACTCTCTAACCATTAGGCCACGACTTCCCCGACTTAGGTGACTCTTGTGAGAGGAGAAGCAGCACGGACTGTGCTTTCACACAAGAGTCTGCTCCTGATCCGTGGCTGTGTACCACAAACACAACATTTATCCATTATTTTGATTTCAAATCCAAACATTGTCACTGAAAATGCTTTTTCAGAATTGCAATTCTTCTTTTTTTTTTTTTACACAGTACAGTAATACAATCTTTCACAGACATGTTTAAACACAATAAATATAAGCAACACATTATTCAATGCTTTTTACTTCTAGATTTGTATATTAAGTTGCTCAAGTGGCAAGTGGCAAAACATTTAAACTGCTTTTCTTACGTTATCACAAACTTACCATTGACTGAAATGGTCAGCTCTACTGCCTTTCCTTTTGCATTTAAATCTTTATTACAAGCAATCCTGCGGTTCATAAAGAACTTTGTTTTCCTTCCTCCACGAGTGCCATCTATTATTGCTTTGTTTATCTAAAAGTGCTCTTTCCCTTTAAACCTAGCCAAAAAGCCATATGTGTTGACTGTGAAACACAGTAGACTTTAATAATATGTATTTATGGTGTCATTACTGCATTTTTGTGTCAATCCATGTTCATATTGACTGCAAACATTGCGCTGTTACTTTAATTCAGCGCTTGCAGCGCAGCAAACACTTGGTGCGGAAACGATCTCTGCACTGCTGCAGACGCGCCGCACCGCAACCATGTGTGGTGGACGCTTTAATCCGTTAACGAGCGTGGAAAAATATGCACCATGTATGCACTGCAACCGGAGTAATGTGAACCTGGCGTCATGTGTGTGTGCACTGCGAGTGTGCATGAGCGCTGGTCTCCAGGAGAGCGCGCGAGCGCTGAATGGTTAAACACTTGCAAGAATTAAAAAGAAATGCAATTTATAAACTTTAGTGACTGTGACACTGCCTCGCAAGTGACAATTCCTGTGTCAACTGTGCAGCGTGCAGCTCGCTTATAGACAGAAGAGATGTGGTGATTTGAAGCCATTTGCGTATTTTGAGAGCGAAAGAGAGAGCGTGTGCGGTGATTCACTCGCGCTGTTTGTGAAATTACGTCTCACACAAGGTTTTCAAATGACTTTTTATAAGTTATTTATTGAAATAATATGAAGGTGAGTACCTCACCTTCAGCATTATAATTATTTTACCCACGCCAGACTGAGACGGTGACGCTGCATGTCGTGCCAAACCTCTCACAGCAGCATCATCAGTTTGAGATCGTTTTTTTGAGATCGGCCTTTTTAGAGACCGCCGATCAATCATCCCAATGTGATTATCGGCCGATAGTGATCGGTAGCCGATCAGTCGGAGCACCCCTACAGTTTACCATATTTGATGCACTCTATGTATATGTGAATAAAAGCCTAAATTAAATCCGTTCATCATATAAAGTGGGCTTTCTCTTAAGAAGATTGTAATTAAACCACTCCATTCATGTGGATTACATTTTGATGTCTTCATGAGCATAAGCGTCTTAAGTTTTTATAAATGGACTTTTAATGGAGGGGCCGAAATCTCAGTTGTCATTAAAAATAACTTTAATTTTGTTTTGAAGAATACAGAGAGTCTTATGGGGTTGGACCATTATGAGGTTGAGTAGATGATGAGAGAATTTTCATTTTTGGGTGGAGTATCTCTTTAAAGAGACGCAGAGCTCTCCTGTGACACCTCACTCACAGCGATTATTCAAACAGACAGAGTAGTGCTTATTAGAACTACAACAGCAGAATAACATCACTCTAAAGTACGTGACAACATGAATGTCGTCTTTATTAAAAGTTGCGATGAAATGGATGTAGCAGCTTATTTTCTGTATTGTGTCCTATATCGGCGTGTAACGAATTATTGAAAAAGAAAACCGTAGGGTGGGACTTGGTTCTATGCATCAGTTGTTGATTGGATGTTGAGTAGTGGGCGTTGCACTGAAAAGAGGAGGCAAATGAACATGAGTTTGCAGGGGTGTGTTTAAGAGAACTAAATGAATGGAGAAGTTCGGCATACATCACCAGAGAGAAGTCTGACATGTAACTGGAAGATGCGCTTGATGAAAAAATGGTCAAAAACAAACATGCATGGATAAATGGTTCACAATATCTAAAGCAAGCATTTAGATAAAAACATTCATTTTTCATTTCATGCTGATTTTAGCATACAGTCATGGTGTTTGTCATGCAAATTATCTTTACTTACAAGGATGCGCTCCAACACTTACAACGTTTAGCCTGCATTTTACATGCTGCGTGCACTCTGGTGGTGAATGAATTTACAGGCAGTGTTTTTGATGTGCTCACATGATTGAGTGCTTTTAAGCTGAAATTGATTAAAAACTTAATTGATTGTTGATTTAAAGGTGATTATCCATTCACATCGCTTAACAGAGACAGAGAGAGGCTCGAGGTCGGGCTCTTTTGTCTTTGATTATAGTGATAAAATCAATTGGTATGACTTGTTGATTGTTTTAAGATATTAATTGAGAATGCATGAAATGTTATGGAATGTTTGTTCTCTTAGTAAAATACACTTGTATCTAGAGGTCGACTAATACTGGATTTTGCCGATAGCTAGGTTGGACCACAATGGCTGATAACCGGTTAATCAACCGATAGTTTTTCAAATGGATACTAAATATGAAAACTAAAATATGGCTGAACTTTATTACACACACACACAAAGTACTGAACCTTACTTTTCAAATGGAATAAAATATATTCTTATTAAATACTAATTATACATTGGTCATTAATGTTAGTACATAGTTCATTAACCATTGTTAACAAATGCAACTTTAAAATGTAAAAATATATTTAAAAAATGTTATTTTAAAAAATTGACACTCTAACAATACTTATACAGCTTCACTAACCTTAGTTAATGTTACAAATGTAATCCTATTGTAAAGTGTTACCATTTAATATAAATCCAAACAGTCTTTGGATATTTAAGTATTATATTTAAAGGATGAATGAACATATCAGTTTTGCTTTCTCACATCACAGCTTTAAATCTGCAACTTCACTGACTAGCAAATACATTAATGTGACCAGCTGGATGTAAACTAATGCAAATAGATGGTAGCAATTGTGACATTATACATTTGGGTCAGAGTTGTGTGTGTTTTGGTCACATTGTTTTAACCGCTTGAGGTGCTGCTAATGTGCTCAGCCTTGATAGCAAACATACTGCTGATTTTTCTCTACTAATGTAGCATCAATCAATCAATTACTTTATAATAATATGAGAACATGTACAATATAGTATCCTGCATAAACACCGTTTTGTTGTCTTTTAATTCCGCATTCTGAAGTGTCCCGCTCTGTGCAGTGCACAGCTTCACGTGTCAAAACAAACCGCACGAGGAGTCAGTAATTCGCATGGATTTTTGCTGATAGTTCTAGCAATTGACTATCGGTGCAGATTAATCGGCAAAAGCGATCAATCGGTCGACCTCAACTTGTACAAGACTATTTAAGTGAACTGTAAAGAGAAAAATAAAATAAAAAAAATCATGTTGAAAACACTGTTCATGTTAACTCCACAGTAAGGTCAGCATTGGTGGATTGATATGTTTTATGCTCTAGCAGGACAGTTAGGTTAGCTCAGGTGTTGTAGAATACGTGCTAGTGTTTTATTCTAACTGGCCAAGTAGGTTATGTTTTACGTGAAGCAGTCAAACTAGTTTGTAGGTTGTTTGACAAAGGCTGTAGTTTGAAAGAAAGCATGTCAGCGTTCGGCTGTAGGACAGCGCTGCTGTAGTTTTGGGATGGTCATTCTGGTGTGATGCACAGCATTTAGCATGACTCAGGTCTGCTCACATTCACCCCTCCCCCCGCCCGCCCACACCACTGACTCACTATTGTTCCCAGTGGCCCCTGGACGACTGAATGTCTTTCACACTTAAATGCATCTACAGTACACCAGAGTCTCACCCTTAAACAGGAAGTGTTCATATGCTGTCCCACTCTTATAGCCTGGTCATACAGGTCTTAAAGGAATAGGTCACCACACCCAAAAAAAAGTGTCACACACATATGACTAAACATTACTTTTCCTTCAGTGGAACATGAGACAGTGTGAATTGCACGAATTGCCATTTGAAGAAAGAAAATCATATGGGTTTGTAACGGTGTGAGGGGTAAATTGTTTATTTTTTGGGTCAACTACTAGTTTAAGCACAGATCTATTGATGTTGGTGTAGCTTTCTATAGATGGGCTGTTGGTTGTAGTTAGCTAGTGCTGTAAGAGTGAGTCTTGAACACGAAGCTTTGTGCCGAAATGTAGTACATCTAGTTGTTTTGCCCTTCCTCGCAGTATGACTCAACATAACTCACTGTTCTTGTTCAGCACTTGGCCTGCATCTGGCCTTTCACAGCTGCTGACCTGGGTTAACCAGGGCTCAGGGCAGAAAAAAAAACTGCTGTGGGTAAAAATTGCCCCTATTGTGAATTCCAGAATGTTTTTTTTTAATTACATGATCAGATTTCTATTATTTAAATGAAATATTAAAATATATCAAAATATAAAAATTATTTTAATTGTAATAGTTCACAATTTTTTTTTTACTATGTTTTTGAATAAATGCAGTCTTGGTGAGCATAAGAGGCTTCTTTGTAAACCTTAAAGGGGACGTAACACCGTTTCTGCCAGTCTAAATGGTACAGTGCCTCCTCGCTCACCTATGGACTCCAAACATAACGTGAGTACCGATGCCATGATGGCCAATGGGAACCACAGAGCGGTTGGTGCGGAGCACAATGGGATGGGTCTAACTGATAGCGCTGCATCACATGGCACGGAGTCTGATTTTCGCCTGAAAGAAATGAAGCAGGAGCCGGTGGACGATATCTTGCCCTGCATACTGCCTGGGGGAGGTGGGAATGGAAACCACAACCTCTTCCCTGACCTCAACCTCAACGATCAGGACTGGAGTGAGATTATGGAGGAGTTCAACCGCTCCGTACCCTACGAGGAAATCCAGGAGCTCTTCAGTGACAGTTTTGGAGATCGCAAGGACCCGGAGCTCTCGTCTGCCGGTGCAGCTCAGAGCTTAATGCCGCCAGATCTGGTCAGCGTGAAGACTGAATTTTCCCCCACTATGGCTCCCTCCGCCTTTGATCAGGACTCTTGCAACGGTTCACCTCAGTTGAGACCCACCTCGTCTGGGCCTCCGCTTCACACCAACTCCCCCGCAACGGCTCCGGCCACGTCGCCGGCCCTGCCTGTGCAGCAGCATCCACAACAGCCGCCCATTCAGCCCAGCAGAACACATCCAAATCACCTGCTGCCCGTCCCACCCAAAGACCTGTCCCCCGCGCAGCAACTGCAGCAGTTAGCAGTTCGTGAGCAGCAGAGGGCGATATTACAAAGCCAGCTGCAGCACGTGGTTCAGAAGCCGCCACAGCAAAAATCGCAGCAACAGCAAGCAGCGAAATTCCACCAGCAGCCCAATCACTCGACGTCTTGGCCCCAAAATGCTCCCACCCAAAGTCAAATGGGCGGAACCTTTGGCCTTGAGAAGTCCACCAGCCCTTCTTTGTACCCGCAAGACTTCCCCAACCCCAAGACCCTGCTCATGCCTAACAAGGGTTCTCCCAAAGCAGGCGCTCCAGCCGGGTACATGCAGCCCGGTGGGCACGCCAACATGTTAAGTCACCCAGTCGCACCCACGGGGCCCCTCAGCCACCCACCCAACCCAGGTGCCCAGGTGGCCATGTTGAACTACAGTAACACTAAACCCCTGTCCCATTATGAGGCTGGAGCACCGGGTGCACCCAGGGGCCCTCCGGCCACACAGAACCAGAACAAACAGAGCCAGGCCATCCTGAACCTGATGCGACAACAGCAGATGCAGAAGCAGAGGCCGGCCAGCATGAACTTCAGACCAGTACACCACCAGCATGCTCCGGTAAGACAACCTTCTCACTGCACTCATCACATCTGTTGCTAACAAGGGGTTTTGTTCACCCTCATGCGAGTCCAAACCCATAAGACTTCATCTTCGAAACTCTGATTTTATGTATGGGTGTTTATATGTGCATCTATGATGAACTGATTTAATTTAGACTTTTATTTTACACATAAACACGCATTCATACTATGAATCACGTATGGTAAACATGGAAGCTTTTGCATGTGTTTCAAGCTACAGCAAACCTCATTGGTTCTCATGCATCATGTTTGAAACTTAATTGACCATATTTTTACCATATTACCACACTTACCATAACTTAAATTAACTTATAGTTTCACTAAAATATATTAATTTGTGTTTCAAAGATTACCCAATGTCTTACAGGTTTGGAATGACAGAAGGGTATGTAAATGACAGAATTTTCATTTTCGGATGAAGTGTTTGTTTTAAAAAAATTTTAATATACCTTTTATTTGTATAGAGCTTTAAACAAAACCGATTGTGTCAAAGCAGCTTTACGGTGTCAAACGGGAAAATAGTTAGTCAATAATGCAAAAAGACGATAACAGAGTCATTTTTCCAGATAAAGTCACTTCATTGATGATTGATCATCAGCTCTCTCCCAATAGTGTCAACATTCCAAATTAAAATTTGATAAAACAATCGTTCCAAAAAAAAAAAGTTTATACTGACTTTAACAACTTCACAATGTATTTAGATATCAAATCATATAAAATAAAAACGTCATAATCATTCGTTTTTAGAAAGTACTTAAAACAAAACGAATCTGTATTTGTAACTACATGTTGTCTTAAGAATCAATATGTCACTGTCTTGAGAGCCTTAAAAGGATAGTTCATTCAAAAATGAAAATTGTCAACGTTTACTCACCCTCAATTTGTTCCAAACCTGTATGAATTTCGTTCTCCTGCTAAACACAAAATAAGGTATTTTAAATAATATGGGAAACCAAACAGTTTCTGGTCCCAATTGAGTTCCATAGTATTTTTTTTTTCTTTTCATACTATGTAATTCCAAAAGAGTACAAAGACTTTTTCTCTGCTGAATTTGAGTGATAAATCGCACAAGACACTGAAAGATGAAATGTTCTAGTGCACTTGTGTCGTGCTGTTAGATGAAGTATATGTGGCACTCTGACTGTGGTAGAGAAGGGAATGAATATTAGGAGTGACTGGTTTTGGCATTTTAGGTTTCAAAATACAGTGGCCTCAAAGCATTTGGACACACAAAAATGTCTTGAATGTCATTGCATTGCATTACATAAAATATTAAAACGAGATCTTTCTGCATCACCGCAGTGGAAATGAGGTGCTCAAATTAGACCAAAGGGAAGAGATTATCAACGGGAAGAAATTATCAATGATATTATCAGATTCCGGAAACGGCTTCTGGAAAGAAAATGTTCACTTTCATTTTCATTTGCACAATGTACAGTATATCTGACTGAAATGGTTTCTTGAATAAAAAAAAAATGTAGGGCGGGACATGATTTTGTCATCGGGCGTTGATTGGATCATTGCTGTTTGCTGATTGTTGTGATCTTTTCAGTGACCGGTTACTTGAGGGATTATTGTTCAGCCCTTGTGCCAGTGAATACTTCAACAGGGAGGAGATGTTGTTGCAAGGTGGAAGGGGTCTTTTATTATATGTATATTATTTTGATTAAAAAAAATTAAGGCCACGTGAATTAAAAAAAAGTCTATGGATAAATCATTTATAATAAACACTGCGATAAAATAAGAATAGTCAATTTTGACTAATGGTGACCAACAGTCATGACTAAATCATAACAACATTCCCAGTCGGCATCAAAATAATATAATACATAATATAAAAACACATCCAGCTCGAGGGTTTTTTTTATCCCGTCGGCCCGTTTATGTGTGCCTGGCAGTGGGCCTCATGCACCCCGGGGTTGAACAGTGTGTCTGGGTCAGGCAGCTGGTTGCTAAGGAGCAGAGAGCAGACAGCCATTCACACTACACACATTGCGGTGGGGGCTGGGATGGGCTGCCAGAGACGGGTCAACAGAGAAAAGGACCGGAGGAGGAGGAGGAGGAGGAGGAGGAGGAGGAGTGACAAAGCCGTCTTTCATGCGTGCTGCCTGCCCACCCGACCGCCCCTGGCTTTCGTCCTGCGTGGAGTATTTTCAGATTAGCCCCCGCACTTTAATCATTCTTTCTGTTTAAATATAGCTGTTTATCCCATTTGGCTTTTACTATTTTGCGAGATGTCAACTTTTTTTTTTTTTTTTTTTTTCACGGTTTTTCGAATTGCTTTTTTTTTTTTTTTTTTCCCTTTTGGTTTTTTTTTTTTTGGGGGTGTTAAATTTTTTTTTTTTTTTTTTGCACGGTTTATCGAATTGCTATTGTTAACTGTCTTTTGTAAAATCTCTGTCCGCTTCTCACTTTTCAGATAACGCTGTTTCGTGTCGTCATTGACCTCGAAATACCTCCGCACTGAGTGTGTGAGAGAGAGCATACAAGAGTGTGCCGGGTGTTTGCTGTGAAAGGGTGGCAGCCAGCGCTGGCATCTCCGATATATTTTTAAACTATCTTCACCACTGTCTGTAGTCCAGAGGTGCTGAGGAAGCTTTTTGCCTCAAGATCAGGTCAGATCAGAGAGGAGATGATGCTTGAATTTAAATGGTAGTTACAAAGCAGTGAGATTTGAAGCATTCAGCTGGTGTGGATTGCATTAATTATACTGTAGGATGGGGAGTCACACAAAACCTGCCAAGAATGTGTCCTAGTTATACTTAACCACAAAATCAGAAGGAAGAAATAAGACATTATACTTGGAGAAAATAAAGCCTAATTTTAGGTGTTAAGGACCATTAATAATTGCTACCCAAATTCTGATTGTTTCTGTAATGCAGTGTCATATTAACGATTATATCAAGGACATTTTTCTTTATATACATATGTAAGAAATATATAAATCAAAGCTGAATTTATCAAAATCATGTGACACTGAAGACCGTAGTAATGGCTGATTACATTTAGGATTTTCTGAAGGTCATTTTTTTCATTTTTGTTATGAAACCCCCCTGTTGGTCCTGGTCCTCTCATTCTCCACAAACTGTAACAAAAAAAAGATTTTACTGTCTAATCGGATCATTCGTTCGTTCATTTATTTATTATTTAAGGGGTTATGAACTGCATTATATAATTATTTGATAATGTTTCGCGAGGTGCACCTATAATGTAAATATGATTTTTACATCAAAATTGTCATAATTTAGAAATAAAAAGGCCCTTTTATACTCTGTTGGAAGGAGCGTGACTGCTGTGAGACTTCAGAGCGTTCAAATCAATGTAATGCCCACTGCTATAATTGGCTACAATCTTTTCATATGAAATTTCATAAGTATTACATGTGAAGCTCTGAACACGGATACTTACATGTTATGTCATTACTGTCAGATCCATATTTTGCAGTAAAAGTCTGTTTGCAGAGCCTGCACAGAAACTGTGACTGATTTACCAAAGAATCCACAGTGAAATGTACTGAACAAACAAATAATGCTCTACTGGGACATCCACATAGTTAAATAAATAATCACTTTCCTAGCATCCGTATCCTTTAGAAGGTAATGTTATTTTTAGTCTGGCAGTGATCCTGTGTTGCTGATCACTCCTCCTCATCTCACTAACGCACCAGTGGGTGGGGCCAAAGATGTAGAAGTAGGCATTGATCTGATTTTGCAGAGGTGGGCTTTCACTGCACTATGGCGTCATAATGTGAGAAAATCTGAAATGAGTCATTTTCTGATCTTGGTTTCAGTAAAAGCTGTTTTTGGACTAACAAGGAAGTTTTGAGATCTGAAACTTACAGGAAGTTTTCATAGTACAATACATGTCAAAACGTCAAGGAAAATTTGATTACAAATTACAGAAGGTTTAATGGGGTCATGAATTTAGAAGTGTTTAAGTCATCTCGCTAGCCTGAAAATTATTATTATTTTTTTTTTTACACAAAACCCAAGGCTATTAATATCAGAGCTGTACTCACTTTGGTCTTCGGTCAGACTTTGTATTTTCGGAACCAAATGGATCTGTGAAGACCTAGAAATGGGATGTAGTCACTTGCTCCCCTGGTCACCTCCAAATATAGTTAAGGTGATTTAAGTGTTTTGGACCTGTATTTTTCTCTAAACAAGACCTCCTAAACAAGTTTTTCTTCTCACAAATAAAGTTGCGCATGACAAGAGCTGCCTTTCTCTGCAGGTCAACACAAGTACCTTTGAAGTGCCATGTGGCAACTCCTCATCTGCTAACCTTGAAGATAATATTGGCCACAGGGAGTGTTTCTCTACTATAATGTTTGAATATAACTTCCCACAGCACAGATTGAAGATTATGACTGCAATAAGGCATTTAGTAAGGCATATAAATGAAAGTGGAAATGTAATGAATTGCTATACAGTTGGTTACAAATGAAAGAAGAAACTGCAAGCGGATGTTAAAATGAAGTAAAGATGTGTGGTCCTCTCATTCTCCACAGCTTGTAAGAGAAAAGAGCTTTTCCTGTCAAATCTGAAATATTTTGTCTTCTGTAATTGCTAGTGTTTAATAAGAGTCATTTCTGACTCTGTCTCTGCAGGATTCGGGGTCCTATCCCTCCACAGCTCATGTTCCTGGCCAGGGCAACAGCATGACACCACAGCAGAGCAGCAACAGCATCCCGGCTAACCATGGTAGTGCGGCCTACATGAAGCAGCAGCAGATGCAGTTGATGAGTCAGCAGAAGCAGTTCCTCCAGAGGCAGATGATGGCCGAGCAGGTACCATTTCCAGTGTTCTTATTTTTGCTTCTATAGACCAATTTCAGTGTTTGCAAACAGTGATGACATTTATTTGTGGGCGGAGCCTATCTGGTGGCAGAAAACAGTTTTAATGTAGCAGTCTATTCAAGTCATGGAATAAAAGAACAATAAATGTAATTGAGTTTATATTTCAAAATTCTGACTTTTTTCTTGCAATTCCAAGATTATATCTCACAATTCTGGTTAGAAAAAAATCTACTCGTTATCCTTTCTTTTCAGTTTATAATCCCACACTTCTGGCTTTTTCCCTCAGAATTGACAAACTCGCAATTGTTGAGTTGAATCAAGTTAAAAAGTCCAAACTAGGAGATATAAACTTGCATTTGCACGAAAAAAAAGTCAGAATTGTGATTTAAAATAGAAAAATGTTATCAGTTTAAATAGTATTTCATGCATGCATTTCAACTGTAGGGCTAATACAATATGTCCCCTCTATGAATATTACATAGACCTATTGTTTAAATCAAATTTATACTTTAAAAGTAGGGTAATCATAGCAGGTTTCATCCATAGTTTGTCCATTTAAATGTGTGCGTTTAGCTTCAAATGGCTTCTTTGACGACCGTGTTATATAAAAATGATTTGCATTCTGATTCTGACATCCAAAGGCACAATACATTTTTTCTCTTATTCCATGGATTTTACCCATTTCCCTCTACTTGTTCCCAGTGTTTTTCTGCCACCACAATGCACGCGCAGCTGCAAGTGACGTAACTGTGACTTCAAATTGGTCTGTACAATGCTAGCGATAGTAACATGATTAAAGACCGCAATGTTCAATAAATACATTTATTAATAATTATCATCATCAACATAATGAACAATTCTTTCTCCAAATAATATAGTTTGTTAAACTGTGGGTGATATTGTGGTTGCAAATATAGAATTCATTGGTGATTTTAAATTAGCCACTTTTGAAGTAGCTGTAAAATATAAACCAAATTTAGAGTCAAAAGTGTGTGTGTGTGTGTGTGTGTGTGTGTGTGTGCGTGACTGCAAAAATGCTTGCTAAAGTTTCATCCATCAGTTCTCAGAGTTATCCTGAGGTCCACCTCCAGAGGGCAGCAGCCTCACAACAATAATAATTTTTTTTGCCACAGTGTTGTTCCCCTTCACAGTATTTGAAGCGATAACTGAAGTGTGTTTGTCCCAGGAGAAGCAGCGGCAGCAGCAGGAACAGCAGCTGCAGAGGCATGCAGCAGCTGGCCCGTATGCCCAACAGCATGCCCAACGCCATGACTAATAACATGGGCTCTGCTATGCCCACCTCCATGCCAACCAGTATCCAGGGTGCCTTGCCTGCACAGGCCCAGTCATGGCGGCAGCAGCAGCAGCAGCATCCAGGTCTCCAACCCGGCTCTGCTAACGGAGGCATGCCAGCAGGTTTCCCCAACTCTGGCTTCCACATGCAGCCAAGATTGTCCAAACTTTCCAACAACACCCCATTTCCCCAGGGTGGCATGGGGAACAGTGCAGCTGGTAGGACCCTGACAGTAATGAATCCTGGACAGATGTTGCCTAACATGAACCAGCAACGGACCAATAACCCAGGCATGTCCCAACAGCTGCCCCCTCCTGGCCAGCAGATGGTCCAGCAGGCGCAAGCGCCGCCTCAAACTCAGCAGGTTCTGTCTGACTTGGGGCCCTTCAGTCAGCCACAGGCTGGACCTAACCGCACCGCAGGACTTCAGTGCAGTCAGGCCTATCAGATCAACAGGACAGCCAATCAGCAGCTCCAGTTTAGCTATAACGCCCAATCGGGAGGCAGCTTGTCCGGGTTTCCTGCCGAGACGGACCTAGTGGACTCTCTGTTGAAAAATCCATCGACACAAGAGTGGATGGATGATCTAGACGAGCTGTTGGCCAGTCACCAGTGAGTGATGGCCATGGGCCAATAACAGCCAATGCTGGTGCCTTTGGTAGAGGAGAAAACATAAACGTCCACTTTCGGATGTTTTCGGAGATGGTGAAACTGCTCATATCACACTCAGATCTGCTGTGTTCTCTATTGAGTATGTATATGGTGTATATAAAAGAGGTCAAGTAGAGCACAGAGCCCGTGTCACTGAAGTATTCTCTGGACTGGAAATTTCAAAGAGGGAACTGCTCTACTACTGACCCTGTGGCTCAGTAAAACCACTGAATTTTCTTATGAGTGTGAGCTCAAACACTAGTTGAGCCATTCACACAGTTGTGTTGCCTACGTGTTCGCTGTAGGCATGAGGAGGGTCTGTTCAATGTCAGGAGTGTCTTGAGTCTCTTGACACACTTCCACAGGCCTTAAATTTGCACTCTTGAAGATGCACAATATGTGATTTACAGTAAAACGGTCTAAAGCAGTAGTTAACCCAAAAATGAGCATATTTGAATCATTTACTAACCATGTCGGTCCAAACCCATGTGACTTTGCTTCATGAGGGATGTCCAGTCCAGCTCCTGGAGGGTCACCTTCCAGCACAGTTTAGCCCCAACCCAAATTCGACACCTGAACCAGCTAATCAATTCTACAGGATCACTAGGCAATAGAGATGGTCTTTTTATGGGGAGATGCCATTTGACACTCGCATCATATACTTGACGTCACTGAATTGCTGTCAGAGATGTACGAAGGTCAATAACAGTTTGTGGATACCATAGAAATTGAGAAGTGCTGTAAACTGAGTGTTCCCCGATGCAAAACATTTTCACTGTAAACTCCAAAAATTATTACAAATTCCAAAATGGCTGTTTAATGGCAAACATGTTGATTCATATAGTAATAAGCTGCTCATCACAAAAGCAGTTCATTCAGAGTACTGAAGCCTCTTCTCCACAGACATCCATTGCTAGAAGCTTTTAATTGATTTTTGTACTAGCAATGTCATTGCACATAAATATGCATCTCTCGGGAGAATTCTGGCTTGGTTGCCAATATTTGTTTTTCCCCCAAATGATGCATTAGATGCTTTTGATAACATTGATAACTCATTTTCTTAGCTAAGGCTCATTTTATTGCTAACAAGCATTTTAAATACAATTAAACCGTTTCACTTTTTGAATAATTTGACCAAAACTCGACTGGAAGTGATGCACAATAAAACTATTATTCTCCCAAGTGATATGTACTGTGATGTCATTTTTAGTATGTTTTCTTCATACATCACGTCTCATATTTAATCTCATGTTTTTCACTGACAGTGTTGCCCCATTGGTAAACAAGTACATTAACTTTAGAAATGCCTTTGTTGGGGTAAAAATCAGTGGTGGAAATGACAACCAGAGACACTTCTGTTTTCTTTTATAATGCTATATTTTCTGTTATCTGGTAATGTGTAAATGCATGCATTTCTGATCTATACACATTTATGAAATTCAAATACTAGAATGATGTTTGACAGACTTTGCATTTTTTTAAAAATCAATTCAAAAACATTCAATCTGTGTATAGTGTTTAGTATTTTTGGCCATAAGGAGGCGCTAGAACTTTGTACATCAGTGTCAGTAAGAATGAATGCACTGGAGGCTTCGCTATTTTGAGGTGATAGGCACAGCTGTACTGGACATCACTAGTATACCAACAACAACTATGATATAAGCCTCAGTTGAGTCATTTTTTTGTATAATAGCACTCCAGCGTCACAAAAACGGCACCATACCCCCAAAAGCAGTGGGGTGAAATGTCGGGCTTGAATCTGACTTCAATCTTTCATGCCAACAGTGATCAAAATTACATATTATGCAAATATGGTTTGATTATTCTAGCATAAACTGTTTGCTAACATTTAAATGTGAATGAAATCTTGTATTCACATCATGGTGGCATATCTGTCAAAGAGCAAAAAACATTTCAAATGAAATTCTTCATGAAGAATGATCATGATCAGTCACCCAAATAAATGTAGATTCCTTGGTCGTGCCCTTAAAAGAATTATTGTTATATTCCCTAATACAAATTCTTCCGCAGTACTCCCAGTCCAGTTTCCATTGGAACCCAATGGCAAAGTTAGCAACTGCATGTGCTGCGAAAAAAATAGGTCTGTATTCAAAAGTTTCACCCCGTGGGGATGTTGCCGTGTTCAGAAAGCTCGAGATGGAGGGTGATGTGAACGTGTCTGTTTTTAAGAGTAACTGAAGGAAATAAAGGCTTTCATGTGACCACTGCAATGCACAGCTGTGTGATTTTGCCACTGTCTGAAGCAGCTAAATGAAACCATAGCATCATGCTTTAAACTCTTCATACAAAGTGTGGTGAGGGTTCTGTGTTACTACCACAGAGATATGATATTTTTTGTTATACAGCAGTTAGTTGTAGTGTCATGAACAATTGGGTCCACCGGTTAAATGGGTGCATGCGCAGTAATTGTAGGGAGGCTATCAGTTCACTGTTAGACCATGTTAACACCACTGCAGTCTGTAGTGTTTCACATTTTATTGTTTGCATGTTCCTACATTTACGCATTTATTCGATGATTTTATCCAAAAGCATCTAATAAATGCAAAAATGTAAACGTACAAAATGGTGATTCAAGGACCCAACAACATTTGAAATATACAATGCCACGTTTATTAGATTACCAGTTAACTATTACAAATCAAGCTAGGGAAGAGGGGAAATGCAGAGAAGATTGTTTTTTTATTATAAGTTAACAGCAAGATATTAAAGGCCAGATAATCAGTAATTTCCATCTGTTAAATTCTGATGAAACAGAGGTGATAATATTTGGACCAAAAACCTGTATACATAAGCTCTCAAAATATAATTTGCATCTAGACAGTAGTGCTATTTCTTCTCTACAGTTAAAGACGTGGGTGTTTTTTTTGTGTGTGTAAGACAGCTACTTAACTTTTGAAAACCACATTTTGCATGTTATCAAAACAGCCTTGTTCCATAACTTGGCAATGTTTCTAAGATGGAAGAAGTCGTTTATTTCTAATGCAGAAAAACTAGTTCATGCATTCACGACCTCTAGACTTCATTATTGCAACGCACTACTAGGTGGTTGAACTACTTGAAATTATTAGTTTGTTTAGCTTGACAAATTACACAAAGAAGCCTACACACACTCTCCAGTGCTAGTGTGTGTAGAGTTGAGGTTTAGTGTAATTATTATCACCGTATTATTATCTCTTGGCTCGGTTTTATCAGCAACAGGATGCGGAGAGCAAAAGATGTCATGTCACCACTCGCTTCACCGGCCCAGTGTGAGCAAAGTGAGTGAACGCCTAAATGAAATGAACCCGAATGTTCTTACATTAATGAAATACATCATTGCCATTCTGAACTTCCTTCTCTACAGTTAAAGACGTGGGTGTTTTTTTTTGTGTGTGTAAGACAGCTACTTAACTTTTGAAAACCACATTTTGCATGTTATCAAAACAGCCTTGTTCCATAACTTGGCAATGTTTCTAAGATGGAAGAAGTCGTTTATTTCTAATGCAGAAAAACTAGTTCATGCATTCACGACCTCTAGACTTCATTATTGCAACGCACTACTAGGTGGTTGAACTACTTGAAATTATTAGTTTGTTTAGCTTGACAAATTACACAAAGAAGCCTACACACACTCTCCAGTGCTAGTGTGTGTAGAGTTGAGGTTTAGTGTAATTATTATCACCGTATTATTATCTCTTGGCTCGGTTTTATCAGCAACAGGATGCGGAGAGCAAAAGATGTCATGTCACCACTCGCTTCACCGGCCCAGTGTGAGCAAAGTGAGTGAACGCCTAAATGAAATGAACCCGAATGTTCTTACATTAATGAAATACATCATTGCCATTCTGAAACAAACCACTGAACATACTGCAGTGCTGTACACTGAAAAATGGCTTTGAAACCATTTTCATTAGTAGATTTCACAAATAATTTCAAAGAAATGGCAAGTAAACAATGTGAAATTTCAAAGCTGTAAAGCATAATCCAATAATCTTATATTTACAATTTTGAAAAATAATTTTTAACAGTGTAGTGTGACAACCAAAAGGGCGATCATTATAGCAGGCCCAGAGGAGCCATTCGTACTTCATTGTCTCTCTCTTTCTCCCTCGCTTTCACTTGAAAACACAGGTGCACGTTCTCCAGCTTCACACTGGTTCCAACTGACCTGGCCGCTTGGAGAGGAAGTGGTGTTTTTGGCCAACAGGAAAAAATTCATATGAGATTTTTGCTGCTTCCTGTTGCAGGAAACACATTCAAGGATGCAGAAGGGATGTGTGGGGGCAGTAGGTCTGTGTGTGTGTGTGTGTGTGTGTGTACCTATTAAACCATATTTTGGGGACAGATTTGTACCCAAAAGTGAGCAAAACCTGACAAAATCGATTCCATTTGGGGACGTCCTCATTTGTAAAACTAGTATAAAATTAAAGTAAACAAAGTTTTTTTGAAATTGTAAAAATGCAGAGAGTTTTCTGTGAGTGGTAGGGTTAGGGGTGGGTTTAGGTTAAAAAGTGTATAACTATCTTTATATAAAAACAATAGAAGTCTATGTAATGGCCCCATTTAGTTAAGTAAACGTGTGTGCATGTGCGTGCGTGCGTGTGTGTGTGTGTGAGAAAGAGAATATACATCTGTATTAAAACAAGGACAGAGCAAAACGTTTAACACTAATATTAGTTTCTCTACAGGGGTGTTCAAGTATAAATGGGCTTGTAAACATGTTTATGCATTCATTAGCATATTTATGTATCAGTAACACTTTAAATTAAGGTTCCCTTTGTAAAGGGTTTATGAAGGTGTTCAATTAATTACTTGCCTTTACAAATGCATTAAAACTGTGCCTTGTAGGCAGTAATAACCTATTTTTTTTAAAAGGGTGACTTACATACCTGCCTAATAGTGACGTTATAAAATGCTTTATTTAAAAAAAAAAGTTCATATTTTGGAAACAAAATATTTGATTAATTTAGATTTCAAA